CGGCGTGCGCGCGCGAAGAAAAAACGAATGTGTCCCGCATGGTATTATTTGACAGGGATGATGGCCCTGGCAGGTGCGCAACCGTTGTCGCAGAAGTTCGAAAAAGTTGCTCGCAAAAGCCCGTTTGACAGAAATGTTTAAAAAGTGTTGGGTTTCCTACGAATCCGCAAGAGCGCGCGGGATGAGATTTTGACAATTTTTTGTTGAAAAACCATTGGTTTTTTGATGTTTTTATGTTAAAATCGCTGCGAACACTAAGGTTTTGGAAGGATTTCGTCTTGCGCGCGCGAATGTCCACTTTACCTTATTTTTTGCAAGGGATTCTTGAAATTTGATTATATTAGAACAAGAAATGTCATTTTCTATTGTTTTTTGCAAGGGAAAGCGGATTACAACAAAACAACCGGATCCTGTACACACCCTCTTTTCTGAGGCTTCCTCACGAAAATGATGAAAATGTAGCTGCGGCCTAGGCGGCGCAGGGGGGGCGCGCACCAGGGGGCCCAACAATAATTATTCTTTAGAATAAATAATGTTCAACAACAACAACAACAACAACAACAACAACAACAACAACAACAACAACAACAACAACAATTACTAGCACGTGGGGACACTCCGTTCTCACCAGTGCCAGGGTTTTCATAGGAGGCGGGCAATACCCCCACTTTGTGGGGGGGCCGGTTCAAGCTCTACCAAATTTCCAAACGACTCTTCGCCACCACCCACACCCAGCTTCCCGCCCTATGACGTTCGGACACTTCACTTCGTGGCATGCGGACGACCGTGGCTACTATTCAGGGCCCCGCGGCCGACGACGACGGCGTGCGCGCGCGAAGAAAAAACGAATGTGTCCCGCATGGTATTATTTGACAGGGATGATGGCCCTGGCAGGTGCGCAACCGTTGTTGCAGAAGTTCGAAAAAGTTGCTCGCAAAAGCCCGTTTGACAGAAATGTTTAAAAAGTGTTGGGTTTCCTACGAATCCGCAAGAGCGCGCGGGATGAAATGTTGACAATTTTTTTTTGAAAAACCATTGGTTTTTTGATGTTTTTTATGTTAAAATCGCTACGAAAACTAAGGTTTTGGAAGGATTTCGTCTTGCGCGCGCGAATGTCCACTTTACCTTATTTTTTGCAAGGGATTCTTGAAGTTTGGTTATGTTAGAACAAGAAATGTCCACTTTAGCTTTTTTTTTGCAAGGGAAAAGCGGATCGTAACAAAACAACCGGATCGGATACCCCGTTTTGCCTGAGACTTCCTCACGAAAATGATGAAAATGTGGCTGCGGCCTAGGCGCGGCGGGGGGGCCGTGCACCAGGGGTCCCAACAATAATTATTCTTTAGAAGTAATAATGTTCAACAACAACAACAACAACAACAACAACAACAACAACAACAACAACAACAACAACAACAACAACAATTACTAGCACGTGGGGACACTCCGTTCTCACCAGTGCCAGGGTTTTCATAGGAGGCGGGCAATACCCCCACTTTGTGGGGGGGCCGGTTCAAGCTCTACCAAATTTCCAAACGACTCTTCGCCACCACCCACACCCAGCTTCCCGCCCTATGACGTTCGGACACTTCACTTCGTGGCCTGCGGACGACCTTGGCTACTACACTGGCGCATGGGTACACTGACTTGTTGTGGTACCATGCCGACAACGACGACGCGACGACGCGCGCATGTGTCCCGCATGATATTTTTTGCAAGGGATTGTGGCCCCTGGCAGGCGCGCGAACCCCGTTGAAAGAGCTTGCGAAAACAGCTCGCGCAAGCTCTATAACATAAATGTTGGAAAACCATTGGTTTTTTTAGGATTCGGACAGCGCGCGCGGGTAGAAATTTTGAAAAGTCGTGCAAGTGTTTTTCGAAGACCTACGGTGCGATTCGTGTGATTTTATGATGCGCGGTGCTAAAATTCTTAAGAAGCCCAATGGTTTTTGGAGATTTCGGCGTGCGCGCGCGAAGAAAAAACGAATGTGTCCCGCATGGTATTATTTGACAGGGATGATGGCCCTGGCAGGTGCGCAACCGTTGTCGCAGAAGTTCGAAAAAGTTGCTCGCAAAAGCCCGTTTGACAGAAATGTTTAAAAAGTGTTGGGTTTCCTACGAATCCGCAAGAGCGCGCGGGATGAGATTTTGACAATTTTTTGTTGAAAAACCATTGGTTTTTTGATGTTTTTATGTTAAAATCGCTGCGAACACTAAGGTTTTGGAAGGATTTCGTCTTGCGCGCGCGAATGTCCACTTTACCTTATTTTTTGCAAGGGATTCTTGAAATTTGATTATATTAGAACAAGAAATGTCATTTTCTATTGTTTTTTGCAAGGGAAAGCGGATTACAACAAAACAACCGGATCCTGTACACACCCTCTTTTCTGAGGCTTCCTCACGAAAATGATGAAAATGTAGCTGCGGCCTAGGCGGCGCAGGGGGGGCGCGCACCAGGGGGCCCAACAATAATTATTCTTTAGAATAAATAATGTTCAACAACGATAGCAACAACAACGACGACGACGATGACAACGACATCACCAACACCACCAAGAACAACACCGCCACCACCACCAACAACAACACGTCTGACACCAACCACACTTTCAACAACACCACCATCAACAGCAACAGCAACAACAACCACAACATCACTTATCAGTATAAGACTGTTCGCTTCCATCTGCTCGCGTGCCTTTCAACACTTAAATACCCAAACGCTCGGTGACTCGTTGCCCGCCCTCTTCGTCTTCGATCGTACCCCTCTTGGGGTATATCTTCCTTACCTGCCACGCGCATCAGTACAACCCCTAAAACGGGGGAGAAGAGGACGAATGGGAAGGAGGAGGGAGAAGGATGAAGCACGAGAGAAATTAGCAGGAGGGGGGGCAGGAAACATGTGGCAGAACCACGCGGGCAGACCGTGCGGGCAGACCCTAGCGGGCGGGTCGGGAAGGCGGGCCCAGGTCGAGCAGGTGGGTTGCTGAAGCGTGAGTCCTAGATGAATCTCGAGGGAAATCTCGAGCGATAGCGCGATCTCCAAGTGAATCGCGAGGAAAGCTAAAACGACAGCGTGATTTCTGAGTGTCGAAGGCGCGGAGTCTGAATAAATTGGGAGGACGTCCCACGCGAGAGCGCGATTCCTGCATGATTTGTGAGGAAGTCCCGCGCGAGATCGCGGTTTCTCAATACACTGTGAGGAAGTAGTCGGCGGGAGCCGCCGTTATTGTAACTCGGGGGCCAAGGGCCCAATTTGGTGACACCCAACAGTCCTTTGTGAGAAAACAGGGTGCGAGCACCGGGAGGAACATATTAGTGTAATAGCAACGGTTGCCGGAAAGGATCAATAACATTTATTATTTAGAAATGTGATTATCCGACCCCACGTACTCCAACCCCATCTGGGAGGTCTAGATGTATTGAGCAATCGCGCTCCCGCCCGAGATATTCTCGCAAACTATCCAGGCATCGCGCTCAAAGTCAGAGATTCCCCTATACATGGTTCAGGAATCGCTCGCTCTGCGGTCTCGAAAGGCGCTCTTGCTCGGGCCTTCCGTAAACGCGCTGAGGAGGCGCGCTCTAGCCTGAGAATTCCTTGCCCTCCCCTCTTGCTACACGTCGTTCATTCCTAATCGTGCTCATTTTTAATTGTGCTCGTTTCAAAACTGTTCCTGGCCCCCTAGTGGCCGGGAAGAGGCCCAGGATAGAACACTTAGAAATGGAAGGATCTTGGCCCGCCAAAGAATCAAAGAACTCCAAGACTTAGACATGCACAGTGTGTACGCCTCCGTGCTAATCCATCTCGTCCTCCATCTTCACCCTCCCTCCCTCCCTGCCCTCCCTGCCCTTCCTTCCGCTGTCGCCCCCCTTCCTGCCTTCCCTCTTCCCTCCTCGTCCCCTTCGATCCTCCCGCCCTCTCCCCACTCCCATTTTTCCATTAGTTCCTTCCTCACTCCCCCTTCCCCACTCCCTCCTCCCTCCCTTTCCCCGCTCCCTCCTCCCTCCCTGACCGCTCCCTTTCCCCACTCCCGTTCCCCCTTCCCTCTCCCCACTCCATTTCCACCTCCCTCCCTCCCCTCCCCCTCCCTCCCTCCCCCCTCCCTCCCTCCCTCCTCCCTCCTCCCCTCCCTCCTCGTCTCCCTTTTCCTGATGCTGGTTCTCTTGTCTCAGGGCTGCGCCGATCACGCGGCGCGGCAGGGGAGGGCAGACGCCCCCCCCCCCCCGAGGGGGCACGGTCGAAGACGCAGAGGGCGAGCATCGCCGACGACGACCTCCTCCCGACCGTGACGGGGGGCGGCGCCGCTGGCGCCGCCCCCCGCGGGCTCCGCGCGCCAGAGATGGGGGGGGGGGGTCCAGCGCAGGTCCAAGAGACCCGCGAGGGGCGCCGAAAGACTGCGGCTGCGCAGCTGATTCTGCCTCGAGTCCTGCCCCTCCCCCCCCCCCCCCCTCCACTGACTGCCTGCCAGAACATCCCAACCCAACCCGAAGACCCAAATTTCGGGCTGGGGGGGGGGTCTACCGTCTCCATATGTGTGTGTGTGTGTTTTCAGAAAGGCTGCCCGACGCCCCTCCCCCACTGGGAAAGGGGGCAAGTTGGGGCCTTCCGGCTGGGCTGGGGTAGTTTGGTGCGTGGGGTGATCCACGTCCTCCTCCTCCTCCTCCTCCTCCTCCTCCTCCTCTTCTCCCTCCACCTCCTCCTCCTCCTCCTCCTCCTCCTCCTCCTCCTCCTCCTCCTCCTCCTCCTCCTCCACCTCCTCCTCCTCCTCCCCTCCTCTCCCTCCCCCCCCTCCCCCTCCCCCTCCCCCCCCCCTCCCCTCCCCCTCCCCTCCTCCCTCCTCCTCCTCCTCCTCCTCCTCCTCCTCTCCTCCTCCTCCTCCTCCTCCTCCTCCCTCCTCCTCCTCCTCCTCCTCCTCCTCCTCCTCCTCCTCCCCTCCCCCTCCTCCCCCCCATCGCGGTTCGGTCTGCACCTCCACGCCCGGCAGGGGAGCCCCGCCGACCTTCTGGTACTGCCCCAGGTTGTCCCGCAGCACCCCCAGCGAGAAATGTGCGCGGCCCTCGTCCTTCCCCTGGCGCCGGCCGCGTCCCAGGGGCAGCCCCCCTCCCGCGAGGTCCGGCATGTCCTCCTACAAACAGATCTCGCGAGAAAAAATTAAATAGTCAAACAATGCTCCACAATTGGAAAAAAAGAGCTATCGTCCCCAGAGTATTGTTTTGACTATTTTTGAACAGTCCTCCTGTAGAGGGACAGGCCCGACTTAACCCTCCCGCAGCGGGCACACACGATAGTCGGCGAGGAGAGAGGGGGGGAAGTGAGACGGATAATGCCGCAGACCACCAAGGTCTGGAGCCGCATGCGCTACAGTAGGGGTCCGACCACAAGAAACCTTCCACAAGACACCCAACCCTGAGACCCCAGGACGTTCGTTCTTTTTTGGTGTTGGGACGTCACGCTTTCCATCGCAAAACCATCGAACACCAAGAAACCCCGGGCACCCTGGGGGCAACCAGGGTGTTTCTTGGCGTGGGCCTCCACTGTATGGCGCCCTATCATCATGGCCAGAGAAGCTTCAGGCCCACTGGGACACTGCAGTTGCCAGCAACGGCGCGCTGCGTCCTGCCCTCCTTCGTGCGCTTCTGGACGCGACGGCCACGTCACTGGGCATATGCGCAGCCACCCTGCTCCTGGAATCGGCGGCGAGCGAGGGGGGAAAGTGAGAAGGAGAAGACCTTCTCAGAAGGCGGCGGGACTTCTCAAAGCCCCCGCGCCCTTTGAGAAGTCAAGTGCTTGTGTCTTCGGAGGAGAAGGCCCAGGAAACTTCTCAGAAGGCGGGGGGACGTCCGAGCCTTCTGAAAAGGCCAGCCCCTTCTCACGTTCCCCCCTCGCTCGCCGCCGACATAAGGGATCTTGCTTGGAGACCCAAACATGGCGAACATGTATCTTCTGGAGGTCCGCGCGGATTTCTCGGATCGGCGCTGGAGCATCCTGGTAGCGCCTCCGGCGCCGCCCCTTGCGCGCTCCGCGCGCCCGGGAGAGAGGTCCAACGCCGATCCGAGAAGTCCGCGCGCAGCTCCGACCGGTCATGATCATGCCACTCCCTGTTCCGGAAATGTTACCCAAGGGAGCTTCAAATGGTGCCGCGGGGATCTGCGGCCCAAAATCTGGAGGTACAGAAGGAGCTCGACCGCAAGAAACCTTCCACAAGAAACCCAACCCTGAGACCCCAGGACGTACATTCATTTTTGGCATGCTAGCCCCACGCTCTCCATCGCAAAACCATCGAACCCCCAGAAATCCCGGGCACCCTGGAGGCAAGCAGGGTGTTTCTTGGCATGGGCTTCCACTGTAAGGAAATTCTCGTGACGCACCCGTTGGCGGGCCGGTTTCTTATTAGCATGCCTGCGGCACCTCCTCCCGCCTCTCGCCGGCCCCGGCCGTCTAAAAAACTGCTCCTCGTGAGAACGGCAGGTGCACACGACGAGACATGCTTGTCCGCCGCCCCTCCTCAAACACCACTCCTGACAAACTCCTCGCCCTCTTCATCCTGACCCCATCCTCCTTCGCCTGCCCATCATCATCGCCATTATCCTCCTCACCTTCCTCCTCCTCCTCCTAAAATGCGCCTCCTCCTCGTCCTCAGCCTTCCCCCGTCTCCTCCCCCTCCTTCACCCGCCGCCTGCTGAGGACGGCATCGTCTCATCAACTGGGCTCAGGAGCAATGGCGGCCACACACTGGAAGTCTTCATTCCGTGGTCAAGGATCCCAAGGCGGTCAGTTCTCAACTTCTGGTGGGTGGGACGTCTATGTCCAACATCATTGAATCTAGGAAGATCAAGGGCAAGCTTGTAACCATTTCTGGACCGATGCGGTGGACGACCCCTCCGCCACCGTTAGCATGCGGACGGAACCCCACACCGAGTCATTACACGATCCCCTGGGCGAGCTCAACCTGTATCTCCGAGACCAGGTCATCAGCAAGCTGCCGACGAAGTCCAGTGGTGTCGACCCCACTAGCCCAGTGGATCTCCAGCGTGTTCCTCCTCAGGGTCGTCTTTTGAGTAGCTGCAGTGGCTCTGGCTGGTTGAGCAATGTGGAACTTGGTCCCTGGAGGTTCTGGCTACGGTGTGCGCTTTGTGGCCAAAGCCCAAAAGGAGGCGAGAGAAGGATTGGCTTGTTGGCAGAGACCACCAAGGTCTGGTGCCGCATGCGCTACAGTAGGGGTCCGACCACAAGAAACCTTCCACAAGACACCCAACCCTGAGATCCCCAGGACGTTCATTCTTTTCTGGTGTCGGGAGGTCACGCTCTCCATCGCAAAACCATCGAACACCAAGAAACCCCGGGTACCCTGGGGGCAACCAAGGTGTTTCTTGACATGGGCCTCCACTGTATGGCGCCCTATCATCATGGCCAGGGAAGCTTCCGGCCCACAGGGACACTGCAGTTGCCGGCAACGGCGCGCCGCGCGCTGCCCTCCTTCGTGCGCTTCTGGACGCGACGGCCACGCCACTCGCGGCCACCTTGCTTCTGGACTCCGAGGAGTTCTACGACTCCCCTGTCCTGGGTGATCCTCGGGGGGGCCGCTGCTGCTTGGACGTGCAGCTGTGCGCCAGGCCTCGCTGCATCCGCTGTTCGCAGGCGGTCGCTGGTGCTATCCCATCGTCGAGGTTCATTGTCGCTGGCTCACCTCAAGGAGTAGGGTTGGTCAAACAGAGTGCTCAACAGAGTGCTCAGAATGCTAAAACAGAGGGCTTACGAGCTTCTCCGCCCTTTGCTGAAGAGTGCTCTCCAGGAGGCCTGACTTGAGCCCGCGCTGGAGCTTCATCGACGACACGGCGGCCAGGGACGAGGGCGCTCGCCAGAATGTCGAGGAGCGCGGAGTCTCATCAGCAAAGGAGGAGGAGGAAGAGGAGGAGGAGGAAAGACTCCGCGGCCCCCTCCCAGGAAAAGCCTCGAGAAGGTGGGTCGAGAGTCGCATGGGGCCGTTTCCCGTCCCCGTTTGAGGCCCTCGCGCCCGGCCCCGAGGCTCCACGGAGCCCGAGGCTTGGCCTCCGTTCGGCAGCGCGTGCGTGCGTGCGTGCGGGATCGGCCGCCCCAGATCCCGCCCCCTCCCCGGTGGGCCCCTCGCCCCTCCCGCCCGCTGGCGGGAGGGTACAGCCACCCATATCATGAGGATGCGCGGTAAGGATGCAAGGGCCTTGGAGGCCCATGCTGACGTTGTTCGAGCGAGGCTGGCCAGCGAAGGTCGCTCAGGATGGGCGAAGGTCGCTCAAGAATTCAAGGGCACCCCTGGGAAGGTTGCCGTCCTGCTTCTGTAGGGGGCCAAAGGGAAGGCTGACTGTAGGGGGCCAGAGGGGCGCTAGCCTTCTTCGCACTGGGGGCGCTGGGATCTGGGCCGCACCATTCCCCTCCTTCCCATATTTCCCCTCTCCTGCACGCTGTGCTTGCCTAAATGTTCTACAACGTTCTTCCTTGACCCTTGATCCTTCTGCGCGACTGCCCATCTTCCAAAAGGCCACACCGAGCGATGGAAAGGGAGGGAATGGCAGGGCGGAAAGGAGGAAGAAACGGACAACGGAAAGCCTCAGGCACAACACGTACAGCCCTGCGGCAGCTGCCAAGGGACGGCCCAACTCCTCCCGCAATGACTCCTCCTTCCATTCATCCACCTCCTCCTACCACTTCCCCTCTCGCTCTCTCTTTTTTTGTTACTCTCTCTCACTCTTTCTCCTCCCTCCTCTCCGTCGTCCTGCATCCGCCTCCACTTGCATCCTCCTCGTCTGTCTCCAACAATATTCCTCGTCCACATCCGGCTCCTCCCCCTCACTCCTTCGTTCTGCCCCATCCTGCCCTCAAATATTCCCCCTCTTCCTCGTGTCCCTTCGTTCTGCTGCTCCCTCCTCCCTCCATCCCTCCTCCGCCTGCTCGTCCCCCTCTCACTCCCCCTCCTCCTCGTCCCTCATCTCCTCCCCTCCTCGTCCCCCATCTCCTCCTCCTCCTCCTCCTCCTTCTCCTCCTCCTCCTCCTCCTCCTCCTCCTCTTCTCCCCGTTCGCACTCCCGCGCCTCCTCCTCCTCCTCCTCCTCCTCCTCCTCCTCCTCCTCCTCCTCCTCCTCCTCCTCCCCACGCCTCCTCCTCGTCCTCCTCGTCCTCTCCTCCCCGTTCGTCCTCCCGCGCGCGGATGCGGGACAGGAAGAGGAGGCGGCGGAGGAGGAGAACGACGACGACGAAGACGACGACGATCGACGGCCATGGGCCGACGACGCCGACGGAGGACCGACGACGACAGCGGCGCGCCCGTGACCTTCGAGGCCCGCCTGCAGGCCTGGGTGAGGAGCTCCAGGTCCTGACGATGTCGTCATCTTCGTCGTCTTCGTCGTCGGCGGCGTCGTCGGCGGCAGCGGCGTCGGCGACGTCGTCGTCCTCGTCGCCTTCGTGAACGTTCTCCTCGCGCCTGCTGCTGCTGCTCCTCCTCCTCCTCCGTCTCTCCATCGTCTTCCTTCTCCTCCCTCCCTTTCTCACTCCCTCCTTCGCTCCCTTCCTACTCCTCCAACTCTCATTCGCCCGTCCTTCTCCTCCGCCGCCTCCTCCTCCTCCTCACGCACGTTCCTCCTCCTCCCCCACGTCCCTCCTCCTCCTCCTCCTCCTCCTCCTCCTCGTCCACCCTCTGCCCTCCTCCTCCCTCCTCCCCCATCCTCCTCCTCGCCCTCGCTCCTCCGCCTCCTCATCATCGCATCCACATCCCTTCTCCACCTACTTGCCTCTTCCTCGCCGTAAATTCGTCCCTCAATCCCTGCACATTATCAATGTACCCCTCCCTCACCCGACGGGCGACAACACCGGGACAATGCGCCGTTCCACCACCCCGTGTAGCAAAACAATAACAAGAGCACTTTGCACCACCATCTGGATCATTCGCGGACGCCCCGTGATAGACCCCCATTGGTGTTTGGCAGGGACGGCGGAATGCTATCATCTTGCCTGCTGTGCAATACCAACACACCCTCACCCCCTTGGCAACACGAACAATCCAACATTGACGTTGGATCAGCATGTGGATCATGCGCGGACGCCCCGCGCTCACTTTGAACCAGTTATTGGGATGAACGGGGGGGGCACCAGACTATCCGATGTGTACAACGTCACCCCCCGACCCCACCATCCCTTGCAACATACAACACACAACGCACTTTGCAGACATACACACACACACATCTGGATCATTTTTGTTTGACAAGGATGACGGGGGTGCCAGCATATTGCCTGCTGCGTGCAGGCCCACCATCACTTCCAACAAAACGACAACGAAAACACTTTGCCGAGGAAGGCGGGGGGAGGGGTGGGCGGCCGCATACTGCCTTGTGCGCACGTGCCCACCTTCCCTGCCAAAAACATGGAGAGAAGCATGATGATGAGGAGGGGAGGGGGAGGAGGAGGAGGAGGAGAAGGAGGAGGAGGAAGAGAAGGACGAGGAGGAGGAGGAGAAGGATGATGATGATGATGAGGAGGAGGAGAGGAGGAGGAGGAGGAGGAGAAGGAGGAGGAGGAGAGAGGAGGAGGAGAAGGAGGAGGAGGGGAGGAGGAGGAGGAGGAGGAGAGGAGAAGGAGAGGAGACAGGTGGGAGGAGGGAGGAGGCAGGAGAGAGGAGGAGCAAGCAGGACGAAGACGGGAGGACAGGGGAGGAGACAGGAGGGAGGAGACAGGAGGGGGAGAAGGAACAGGGAGGAGGAGAAGGAGGAGGGAGGACGAGGAGGGGAGAAGGAGGAGGTGGACAGGAGGAGGATGGATGAGGAGGAGAGAGGAGGAGAGGAGGAGGAGGAGGGAAGGAGGAAGGAGGAGAGGAGGAGGAGAGGAGGAGGAAGGAGGGGGAGGAGGAGGGAGGGAGAGAGGAGGAGGAGGACGGAGGAGGAGGAGAGGGGGGAGGAGGAGAGGAAGAGGAGAAGGAGGAGAGGACGAAGAGAGGGAGGAGAGGGCGAAGGAGGAGAGGAGGAGAGAGGAGGAGCAGAGGAGAAGGTGGAGGAGGGAGGAGGAGGAGGAGGAGGAGGAGGGAGGAGAAAAGCATCAGCAGGAGGAGGAGGGAGGAGGAGGGAGGAGGAGGAGGAGAAGGAGGAGGAGGAGGGGGGAGGAGGAGGAGGAAGTGAAGGAGGAGGAAAAGAAGGAGGACATGAGGAGGACAGGAGAAGGACGGCGACGACGCCGCGCCGAGCCTGGACCTTCTTGAGCGCCACCGTGTGCTCCTGGTCGGACAGCGGCTCCCCGTCCGGCCTCGCGGCGGGGCCGCGCAACCGGGGGGCCCCCACCGCAGCTCCACCGGCGCCCCCCTAAGGCATCCAGACGAAGGATCCCTTACCAAAGGAACCCTCAAGCAGGTGGCCTTCCTGAGGGCACCCCTGATTCAGGAAATTCTTACCACGAAAGGAGCAGACGTCAGGAGTCCTCCCGGACCCCCGACGTCATGACCGTTCCAGAGCCAGCTTCTCATCCTGAATGGTTGTTTGACGGTCCTGAGGCCCAGTCAGGGCCCCTGGAAGCTTGAAAAGAAGGAAAAGCATTAGCCTTGCGAAAGACCCAACCATACGCAGTTGTGAATACCGCAATTGTGAATACCATCTTCGCCCACGCTCCCCATGTGGCCACGGCTTCCCGCCGGAGCCCGACATGCTCAGGGATACGTTCGCGGCCGTCTTCGCGGGCGCCGACGACGACGAGGACGGCGTCCCCCTGACCGAGGAGCAGAAGCAGGAGAGGGCTTTGAGAGCCATGAGGGGAGCTGCCACTGGCGCCCCTCATGGCTCGTGGTGTTGGGTCCTGGCACCCCCACTAGGGACTTCAGTGGAGTTCCCTATGGGGCCACGAAACGTGTGAGGGGTGTGCCAAAATGGGTGCGGGTACCGCATGCGAGCTCCGCCACTGGGACCTTCGGTGGGGCTCCCTATGGGACCACGAAACGTGTGAGGGGTGCGCCACAATGGGGCGGGGATGCCATGCAAGCTCCGCCACTGGAACCTTAGGTGGAGCTCCCTATGGGGCCACGACACGTGTGAGGGGTGTGCCAAAATGGGGCGGGGATGCCGAAACGTGTGAGGGGTGTGCCAAAATGGGGCGGGGATGCCATGCGAGCTCCACCACTGGGACCTTAGGTGGAGCTCCCTATGGAGCCACGAAGCGTGTGAAAGATGTACCGAAACAGGGACATGCGGAGAGCAAAGGCAAGGAGGGGGAGGAGGGGGAGGAGGAGGAGGAGGGGGAGGGGGAACGCGGGGCACCGTCTCTTCAAAACGAGGACCCAACACCACAGGATGGTTGGAAATGAGTCGAGGGGGCCTGGGCGTACTGCACGGGTCCTCATTATCAAGCGGCTCCTTGCTGAAGCCATACCCCCCATCCGCGCAGCTTCGCGCGCCTCATAATGACCGCGCGCCGCGCAGGGCGGCACTCTCAGAGACCCGCTCGGAGCGCCAAGGGCCCTCCACCTCCACCTTCCGTACCTTCCGACCTCCGCGGAAGGTGCGGAAGAATTCGTCGAACCTCATGGAAACCTTCCGTAAGTCAAGGCAACCAGCATAGCTCCTATCGAAGCAAAGGTGAAATGTCAGGGCGGAAGGTCCAGAATAACGGGGGGAAGGACGAGGAGGAGGAGGAGGAGGAGAAGGAGGAGGAGGGGGAGGAGGAGGAGGAGGAGGAGGAGGAGAGGAGGAGGAGGAGGAGGAGGAGGAGGAGGAGGAGGAGGAACCCCCTCGCAACGCCACCAGGGGGCGAGACAGGGGGGGGTGCTTCGGAGGGGGACCCCGATGGAGCGGAGGGAGGCCTTCGAGAGGGCCGCCCCGCGGGTGGCAGTGAGGGCCTCTAGGGCCCGAAGGATGCATCCGCGCCCCCCGCCTCCCCCCGCCCCTTTCCCTCCACCCTACCTCCCCTCTCATCCTCGTCCTCCCTCCGCCGTCCTGCCCTCATCCCAATCCCCATCCGCGCCCCCCGCCTCCCCCCGCCCCTTCCCTCCACCCTACCTCCCCTCTCATCCTGCACCTCCTCAACCTCCTCCTCATCCTCCTCCTCCTCCTCCTCCACCTCCTCCTCCTCCTCCTCCGCCTCCTCCTGGTTTCCTGCTTTTTTTCGGCGATCATGTTCGTCGAATGCAGCTTCTATCCTCCTACATATCCTCCTCCTCCTCTTCCTCCTCCTCCTCCTCCTCAGCCATCTCCTCCTCCTCCTCCTCCTCCTCCTCCTCCTCCTCCTCCTCCTCCTCCTCCGCCTCCTCCTCCTTCCTCCTCCCTCCTCCTCCTCCTCCCCTCCCCTCCCCCTTCCTCCTCCCCCTCCTCCTCCCCTCCTCCTCCTCCTCCGTTCTCCTCCTCCTCCTCCTCCTCCTCCTACCTCCTCCTCCTCCTCCTCCTCCCACCCCTACCCTCATCCTCGGCGCCCGCCCGCCCGCGGAGGACCCCCCCCGCCCCGCCTCCCGCGGTCCGCGACAGACAAACGGATCAGGCCCATGATCGGGACGGAAGAGCAAGAGGAGGAGAAGGACGAGGAGAAGGACGAGCAATAGGAGGAGAAGAGCGGAAGAAGGACGAGGAGAAGGACGAGGAGACGAGCGAAGGAGAAGGACGAGGAGAAGGACGGAAGAGCAAGAGCAAGAGCAAGAGGAGGAGAAGGACGAGCAATAGGTGGACCAGGACCAAGATGGAGGACGAGGGGTGGACGAGGCGCAATAGCAAGAGCAGGGCAAGGCAGGGCACGGCAGTCTGCATGCCAGCTCCGGTGCTGGAGCGGTCCCGCGGGGTGCAGACGAAAGATCTCGCGCAGAATCGGTCAAACGCCGAGTGGGCTAGCTCCTATCCACCCACAGGGGACACTTTGTGCACCAGGACAGATGCATCAAGAGGGGCGAGGGAGGGGGGGAGGAGGGGAAGGACTAATGGGGAGGGGAGGGGGAACACATGCACATGCACAACGTGTGAAACATGCAAACGTCACGCTCTCAGAGAATATTCCCACCGCAACCGCGGTGTGGCGACACTTCGGCTGGCATCCGTCGGGGAAGTCTGTTGCTCCATGTGTTCTCTGTGTCCAAAAAACGCGGGCAGCGAAATCAGATTTTCTGGTGGTTGTGCAACGTCTGATCGTGAACTGTCTGCAACTTGTTTTCGTTGCGAGCGAGGAACGTTTGATGTCATCCACTCAAGATTACGCATCTCTTCTGGCAACGCGGAGCGTGCTGCGGAACATTTTCCTGAACGCAACGGGACTCACAAAGCTCTCGGACAATGTCAGACGTTACCGAAGGGGGCAAGCCAAAACCCATCACATGTGCTTGGATCTCGCATGCGCCCTCAACGCAGACGACAACAGCTGCGCCAACTCTTTTTCAGAACCTCCAGCAAGAGCACATTCTGAACCCGAATAACGATCTGCTTTGCCTGACTACACTGCGTCGACAGACGTCCACGCCAAATACAATGACGGATGCAAATTTGGCATCCGTGTCTGTCAATACTTTGGTTTTTACCCAAATGAGCCACCAAACCATGTTTAGACGGCTCATGCTGCCATTCCCGGGTGACCTTATAACGTAGGCTTTGCTTTGCGCCTGGAGAAAGACATCGACAACGAAACGCAAATTTGTCACGGGGTCAGTGGATGAATCGATCACCACCCCGCAATACTGCCCAATGCGTCTCTGATTGATCGTGCGTCATCGCTTCTTCACGCGTCGAAAACAAACTTACATGATTGCTACGACCAATAAATCGGGGATTGAGCCACCCTGTTTCACTCAGCGAGATAACCGGAATCTTCTAGAGAGGTCGCGCCCGTAAGGACCACGGCCCTTTAATCTCTGCACAATTCCCGCAGGAGCGTTATGTAAGTTCCCTCAACACCAAGTGAGCAAAAAAACTTTCCAGAGAGCAGCGTCTTCGACTGTATCGAACGCGTTTTCAAAATCGACGAATCCAACCCACAACTCTTGATTCTGGTCCGCGCTGCCTTCGGTAAGCAGTGTCATTGTCAATAAAGGATGTACAATTGAGAATCCTTTGCGGTACAATGCCTGATCCGGCGGCTGCGCGGAAACAATGATGGACCGAAGTCTAACACACAAAATGCGCGCAAACAACTTGTATACCATTAGCAATATTGCGAATGATCTGTAGTTCTTCGGTAGTCAACGTTCGCATGTTTTGACTAGGACGTCCAGCCTCTTTCGTCTACACGTTTCTGGTAGCTCCGCGTCCACGCTGAGCACGTGACTAAGGAGACTCATTCAACTATGCCGGAACTTTGCGCTCGATGCTTTCAATATTTCGGCGACCACTCCCGCATCGTCCTGGCATTTTCCGCATTTCATCGTTGACAAAACATTATCGAATTGCTGCATTGTGAACGGTGGGACGCCTTCGCCGCGGCTTTCGCTAGGGCCATCTGCTTCCACCCGCCTCTCGTCCAGTCTTTCAGAAGCGCAAGCGAGCACTCCAGAAATACTGCATTGATCCATGTGCTCTGTTCTAGAATCGTCCCGTATCGCTGCAATACGTTGACATGTCTTGTGGTTTCCAGCGCTTGCCGATCCAGATGCTGTGCGAAAATCCACAAACAGTTGTTTTTTTGTGCATGACGTTTGTCTTTCCACCGCGGGGTGATTTTCTTGATTTGCATGCTGACTTCCAGAGGATGAGGAGAGACAATAATAGCAGAGGATCAGATGACGAAAGGGAAGACGAGGAAGGGAAGGGAACCTGTGGGGGAGAGGAAGGACGCGTGGAAGGAGGAAGAGGTGGAGGGAGAAAGAGGAGAAGGAGGAGGACGAGGAAAAGAAGGGAGGAAAAAGAGGAGGGAGGAAGAGGAGGGGTGAGTGATGAAGAGGCGGATGCCGAGGAAACACATTGGGCACTGGGCACTGTGCCTGCTCGGCTGGCAAGGCGGCCCTGCGAGGGGCTGGGCGGTGGTAGACCGCGGCGCCGGCTCGTACAATCTGAAAACGCTCGAGTCGAGGGTCCGGAACGGGGACGGGCAGGACGAGAAAGACGAGGAGGACCAATACTGGCCAGCAGGTGAAGGGCGGACAAGGGAAGGAAGGCGACCCGAGCAGATAAGGCCGAGAGCAACAGCAGACGAGAGAATGAAGTCCGTTGCAGACGACGAGGAGAATGAGAAGGAGAAGCTCAGATGAAACCAGTCTCGTGAAGTCCTGGCGCCCTGTTGGTGGATGGGGAGGAGGAGCTGGAGGAGGGAGCAAAAAGGAGAAACCTCCCACTGCCCGGCCTGGCGGTTCCGCTCCATGGATCGCCGCGGGAGCGCGAGTTGTTGCATAGCGGCCCCCCTTCGGGAACTGACCTCTCGACAACCTCCTGGGGGCCAGCCTTGCATCCCGAGCCGTCTCTTGGCGGCCCTGCAGGCCCGGGCACGGTTCGGAGCCGCCGAAAGCGACGGAAGACGTCCGGCGCGATTTGTTCGACTCGCAGGGGGTCCCCTGACACCCTCTAGTCGTAAGAAAATCGCGATGGAAAGGGTTGGGACATGTTGTACTTCTGGGGGGCCCTCATTGGGCTCCGGGACGGTAAACAAAAACGGGTCGGGATGAAAAGCCGGTCCTCGGAAGGAGGTCCAGACCTCTGGGAGCCACGTGGCCACCGCCAGAAGCCATGAAGCCAAATATGTTGACCATTCACATAAGCTTTGGGCAGGGACCGACCGTCCCGGTATTCCCATAGGCCTACCACGACGTGTTCTCATGACACACACATGTCCTTATCACAAAAAAATGCAGCCTCAGCGAGACAGATAAGGACGCAAGAGCCTTGGAAGGCCCTTTCGAAGCTTCTCGAGCAGGGCGCGGCCAGCAAAAGTAGCCAAGGATGGGCCGAAGGGGCAAGGATGCAAGGGTATCCTGGAGAAGGTTGTCCATCCTTATTATGCGGGTTGACTGTAAATCAAGCAAAACAATATCAGCCAGACATGTTCTAAGAACGTTTGGTGCAAACCTCGAACGGTTCTTAGAACATTATTGAATCGCTTCGCTCATTCTGCCGGCCCATTTCGCATGACTGAGCCGCGCATATCCGCCACCGCGCTTGTGGAAGCCTGTTGCCTATGGGGGCTCTTTTGGGAGGCCTCTTGGTGGCCTCGTGGGGACTCTTAAACGCGTCGGGTCGTTGGCATTTGCTTGTGTGCTGGAGGGTGCATTTGGGGAGCCTCTTGGGGCCGCTGGGGGGCCTCTTCAGCGTCGCTTGGGGGCCTCCTGAGGGCCTCTTGGGGGCTTTTGGGGCCTCTCAGGGGCCTCTTGAGGCCTCCTGGGGGCTTCTTAAGGCCGAGGGCTCGAAGTTTTGTTTTGTGTTCCCCCTTTGGGGCATCGCTTGGGGCCCTCTTGGGGCCCTCTTGGGCCGTCCCCTCTTGGGCTTGGGGTCTTGGGATGCCTCCGACGTCTTGGAGCCCTCTTGGGCCATCTTGGGGCCTTCTTGGGAGCTTCTTGGGCCCTCTTGGGGCGATCTTGGGGGCCTCTTGGGCCGTCTTGGGGCGTCGGGAAGCCGAAAAGATGGACACGCCCAAATCTGCCCAAAACCTAAGGAAAAGTAATGAATTTTGCCTCTTGGGGCCCTCTGGGGAGTGCTCTTGGAAGCCTCTTGGGGCGTCTGGGGGCCATCTTGGCCGTCTTGGAACGATCGTGTGGCATCTCGGAGCACTCTTGAACCATCTTGGAGGGCTCTTGGCGGCCTCGTGGCCCTTCTTGGGGCTCTCTGGAGGGCCACGGGGGCGGCGCCCAGGAGGAAACCCATCTCTGACCCGAGTCTGCGGGGGATCGCCCGGGGTACTTTTCGTCCGGGGACCCCCAGGGGCCGCCCCGCGCGCGCGAAGTAGAAGTATTATTTAGCAGTTACCAGAGATCTTAGCACGCCTCTGGCCCGTTGGGCCGGCGAATTTCGTGGGCCTCTAGGCAAGACAGGACGCTTCGCCACTGCTGGAGTTAGGTTGGGCGTCCCCCTCCAGGCGGATTTGGGAACAAATATTGAACAGAGTCAAAGCATATTAAGACATTGTCCACAAGAGTCGAAAAAGCGTCCCCAGACTATGTTTTGAATATTTTTGGATACTCCTCCTGTAGAGGGGCACGCCCGACTGAACTCTGGGCGCGCCAGGACGCTTAGCCAGTGCTGGAGAGCTCCGGCCGCCTTCCGCCATCCTTCCGCAGGCGCACACGCAGCAGGTGCTCCTCCGCCGGCCTCCACCGATGGCCCCGGCACGCCGAAGGTGAGCCCCTTCCGCGAACGAGCCAGGAGGAGGAGGAGGAGGAGGAGGAGGAGGAGGAGGAGGAGGAGGAGGAGGAATGAGGAGAAGGAGGAGGAGGAGGAGGAATGATAAGGAGGAGGAGGAGGAATGAGGAGGGGAGGAGGAGGAGTAGGAGGAGGAGAAGAGGAGGAGGGGAGGAGGAAGAGGGAGAGAGGAGGAGAGGAGGAGGAGGAGGAGAGGAGGAGGAGGAGGGAGGGGGAGGCGGAGGAGGAGAAGGAGGAGGAGGAGGAGGAGGAGGAGGAGGAGTAGGAGGGGGAGGACCAGAGCCACGACGTCGGATGTCTGGATCTGGGGCGCAACGGGCTGCGGACGCGTCCTGCTGTCGGCGCGACCGCCTGTTGGACCCAACTCGTCAGAAACCAAAACGTGTCCGCGTCTGAGGATCGGCGGCGAGCCCTGGGGGGGGAAGCGTGATGGAGAAGGCCGTATCAGCAGGCTCGGAGTTCCCCAGGCCTCCTGAGAAGTTGTCTGAGCCTTCCCCGAAGACACAGAAAACTTCTCTGAGGGCGCGAGGGCTTCTGAGAAGTCCCGCCGCCTTCTGAGGAGGCCTTCTCCTTCTCACCTTCCCCCTCCCTCGCTCGCCGCCGAGGGGAGGCCGTGGCGGTCCCCTCTGCCCCGCGGGGCAGTGCTGGACGCTCGCTGGGTTGGCCGGCGCTTGGAGTCCCAGAATCGGTGCGGTGACAGTCTGCCCAACAAAAAATACAATGCCGAGGAGGGCGTCCGGCGGCGAGCGGGGGGGGGAGGTGCGAAGGAGAAGGCCTCCCCGGAAGGCGGAGGGACTTCTCAGAAGCCCCCGCGCCATCTGAGAAGTTTTCTGCGTCTTCGGGGAAGGCTCAGACAACTTCTCAGGAGGCCTGGGGACCCCCGAGCCTGCTGAGAAGGCCTTCTCCTTCTCATTTCCCCCCAGGCTCGGCGCCGAGGTGTGGCATACCAGAGCATCTTGAGGATCAAAGACCATGCGGTGACCTCGGCATCCCCCAGAAAGACCTCTCCTCACAGTCCATCACCGCAATGTTGTGGGGCCCCAGAGGCCACGGTCGCCCGACACGCCCTCGGGAAGCGACCCGAGTCCCCAGACCGAGCGGGACCAGCCACGAGGTGTGGTCCCCGCACCGTCCGGGGTTGGCGTCCCTCCCATGGGAGCCTGCGAGGCCCTGGGCGCTGTCCGATCTGGGCCTGATGCGGATTCGATTCGGACCACCTTCGGCTACACGCAAGGGTGACCCTGGGCCAGAGTGACCTGCGCACCGGCTCCACGGGGGACGCGGGGGGGGGGGGGGGCCGCACACCCGCGCGCAGGCCGCTGCCATCGCATCGCCCCTCGGCGGCTGGAGCACCCCGCTGGGCCCGCCGGCCAGCCACCAGGCCAGCCAGAGACCGACTTCTCCCCTTCACAGGGCAGGCGGGGAGCGGGTGCGCCTCCGCACCGGGGTGTTCAGGTAGCTCGGCAGCTCGATGCGCTGCGGCCGCAGCGGCTCCGCGCCCCGGGAGGGCGCCTCCCACCGCGAGAGTAGGGGGCCCAGGCGTGCTTCTCCCCGGGGCGGCGCTCGCGGGGGGGACAGAGCCTGGCGTCCTCGCGGAGGACGAGGAGGAGGAGGAAGAGGAGGAGGAGGAGGAGGAGGAGGAGGAGGAGGAGGAGGGGGAGGAAGAGGAGATGGAGGAGGAGGAGGAGGAGGAGGAGGAGGAGGAGAGGAGGAAGGAGGAGGAGGAGGAGGAGGGAGGAGGAGGAGGGAGGGAGGAGGAGGGAGGAGGAGGACAGGAGGAGGGAGGGAGGGAGGGAGGAGGAGGGAGGAGGGAGGAGGAAGAGAGGGGGGAGGAGGAGGAGGAGAGGAGGAGGAGGAGGAGGGAGGAGGAGGAGGAGGAGTCGAGCGTGCAGGGGGACGAGGAGGAGGAGGAGGAGGAGGAGAAAGAGAAGAGGGAAGAGAATGAGGAGTCGTGGAAAACTTGCGACGGAAGGCTGTTGGTCGTCTCAGGCGTCTGGGGGCCCCCACGAGGCCCGGGGGGGGCCGTCGAGACGCTGCTCGTGACGAGACGCTGGCCCCAGGGGACGAGGCCCAGACCTCCGGGGAGCTGCGCCGTGACCAGCGCACGGCCGTCGGGCGTCTGGAGAGGGCGGGGAGCGATCGAGGGGGGGGGGGGGGGGCCGGAAGGCGCGCCGAAGGGCGCCCCGCGGGGGTCCCCTGGGCTGCCACCGCGGCGGCACAAACAGGGCGCAGGGAGGGAGGGAGGGAGGGAGGGAGGCAGGGAGGGAGGCACTGAGGGAGGCAGGAAGGGAGGGAGGGAAAGAGGCAGGGAGGGAGGGAAGGGAGGGAGGAAATGCGTGTTGCAGTCGTTGCCGTCCACTGCGACCTTCGGGACGACAGGCTGTCTCAAAATGCTTGGTGCCTGAGGGCCGGTGTGGGGCCCCACAGGGCCTGCCCCCAGAAGAACGGCGCGGGGTGAGAAGCCGGTCCAGAGGGAGGGGTCGAGGGGCCTGGGCGCCGAGCATTGAGAACCTTACGACGTCGAGGTCTCGGAATCGACAGTGGCAGGTCAGAAGACGCATTTGCTGACATCCCTTCTCATGCCTGCGGCGGTCAGAAGATCGTCCAACTGACGCTCCAGACGCCACGAATATGCCTCCAAGTCCGCCAGGGTGGCACAACATTGACAGTGCTGCTTCCTTGCAGGTCCATCGGCCCCTCAGGAGATCCCACGAGGCGCCCAGGATGCCCCAAGCGGCCCCCAAGAGGCCCCGAGATCCCTCCGAGAGGCCAGGCAAGCCAAAACCTTAAACATATCTTTCAAATTGTGCAACGCGTTCTGCCTCCCATGTCCCGTGATGCCCCCAAGCGGCATCAAAGAGGCCCCACCACGGCCAGTCGGTGGCCCGAGACCTGCCAAGTGCGGATTCGGGACAGCCCAGACTCCATAGCACCTGGACTGCCCAAGACTGGCCCAAGCTGGTCCGAAGACGCCGCAGGGAGCCACCGAAACTGCCCCAAGACCTCCCCAATTGTCACAGGACCCTGCAGGATGGCCCGAAGGCCCCCTGCGGGCTCCAAGACCCCCGTCAAGGCTCGCAAGTTTCGAGCGAATTTCTGCGACGCCAGGCAAGCCTGCAGTCAAGTATGACGTATTGCATGCTGCGCCATGGGGGAACAACTTTCATATGTCTGCGCCTAATCAGGTTGGGTACTTAGGCAAGCTGTTGCATAGTACGGTCCTCTGGGATCTGGGACCACCCAGGGTCTTGCGTCATGCTGTTGCGTATGAAATTGCTGACTAACGTGGCATCCAGGGGAGTACCCGACCAATCTGCAAACTTCGACCGCTCCAGTGGACACACTTTGACAATGTGCACGGCGCTAGTCCGCTGAATCTTCAGGGGGCTACTGGGCTGCTGGAACATCAACGGCCTACGCACGACAACCCTCGCGGAGACGAAGCATCGCTGGGATCTCTGCAGGGCGCCGCTCTGCTGCGCGCCCAGGAACTGAGGAAGAAGCGGCGTCAGTCGCATGCTTGACGAGGAGGGAGGGATAAGAGGGCTGGGGGGAAAGCGGCGTCAGTCGCATGCCTGACGCGGAGGAATGGGGCTTCAAGACAAGAGGGCGCAGGGAGAGAACATGCCACACGGTAAAGAGCAGAAGCATGGAGCGACCTGTCAGCGAGCTCAGGAAAGTTGCGACAGTGGGACCAGTTTCGGTGGCGCGCCCAAGGGGGAACATGAGAAGGGGCGGGCCTTCTCGGAAGGCTGGGAAGCCCCCCGGCCTTCTGAGAAGTCTTCCAAGCCTGGGCCCCCCACTCTGGCACGCGGAAGCGCGCCACCGGCTGGGCCCAGGCGCCGATCCAAGAAATCCGCGCGGAGCGCCACAAGTTTCTGTGTATGCAGGCTCTTTCTCTTCGATGGAGGGGCGGCTGTTGCAATGTGGCGCAGTCCGCAGGACACTCCAGGGGCGCAGGCCCACTGCGGCTGCCTTGCGCCTGCCGGGCGCACGGCAAAGCCACAACTCCCGCGGGGGGCGGCGGGTGCGCCGGCACTCCTCGTTGATAGACCCTTCGGGGGTCACAGGAACGTGACGAGTGGCGCGACGACCAAACACGGGTCTTACGCGACATGACACAGCGACGCGGCGGCTTACGCGGGCCGCCGGTGCGGCAAGCCACATCAGGGCTCGATCCACGCGCTGCTTTCCGTTGTCGTTTGCGTTCTCCCCTCGTGGTGTCTTCGTTCGGCCTGTGCTGCAAAACGAGATCCAAACGAAAGCGGTCCACGAGATCGCTAGAACACCGTTGAGGTGTTTAGGTCGATCCCTGATCCACATTGGAAGCGGGCAGAGCGGGCTGCCTTCGCCGGCCCCTTTGGGGAGGCTGCCATCCTGATGGCCCACCACTGCTGCTTCGGCCCGGGCCCTCTCCTTACCCTCCACTCGGACTCCCCCAAAGCGGGACGGTCTCACCCCGGCCCACGATGGACGCATCCCCACGAGATAGCTAAAACACCGTTTAGGTCGTTTAGGGCGCTTACGCGCGACCTTACGTGGGCAGCTTACGCGCCAATGTCTGTGAAAAGACGAGCCCGTTTTCTTCCGTCGCCCAATTGTACGTGTGGCGCTCCCTGGACAGGCCTGGTCTGTGCACGACGGCACCCCGCTGGACTTCCGCAGCGGCCTAGGAGGATAGCGACCTGTGCACGTCAGGGGAACCCAGGTGAGCGAAATCTATACTTTCCTGCACCAAAGAGAGCCCCGACCAGCTGTCCGAGCGCAGGATGAGGAATGATAGGACGTGTGATCTTTAGTGTCAGTTTTTACTCTCCTCTCGCTACTGGCTGCGCCCTACAAAATCCGCCGACCCTGTCGGCGTGTGTGAGGGGCTTTTCCGTTCGAGCCGTCATCTCCGTCATTCTTTGTAATCGTCGTCTCTGTCGTTCCCTTTCCCTGGTACCCCTCTTCCCCTGGGCTCCTCCCCGCTCCCCTCGCCCTTTCCCAGGGCCTCCTCCTCAAGCGCGCTAGCCAAACCGACCTTCAGCAACGTCGTAATTGATTCGAAGGGAAGCCCCTTCCCTTTCCCTTCCCCGACGGGGGGGGGAGGGGGGGTCCCGGGGGGGGTCCCGGGGGAGTCCCGGGTCAGATACGACGGCCCCCCCGTACCGACCTTGAGCAACGTCGTAATTGAGTCGAAGGGAAGCCCCTTCCCTTTCCCTTCCCCGACGGGGGGGGGAGGGGGGGTCCCGGGGGGGGTCCCGGGGGAGTCCCGGGTCAGATACGACGCCCCCCCCCCGTACCGACCTTGAGCAACGTCGTAATTGAGTCGAAGGGAAGCCCCTTCCCTTTCCCTTCCCCGACGGGGGGGGGAGGGGGGGTCCCGGGGGGGGTCCCGGGGGAGTCCCGGGTCAGATACGACGCCCCCCCCCGTACCGACCTTGAGCAACGTCGTAATTGAGTCGAAGGGAAGCCCCTTCCCTTTCCCTTCCCCGACGGGGGGGGGAGGGGGGGTCCCGGGGGGGGTCCCGGGGGAGTCCCGGGGAAGTCCCGGGTCAGATACGACACCTCCCTCCCCCACCTTCTCGTCCTTCTCCCCGTTCCCCAAAACCATTCCACAGCCCGTGCCTCTTGCTGCGCATTGCGAACAGGGTCGGCGGCACCGGCCGTAAGGCCTTCGCAATACTCTCGACCCTGTACCCTCTCCTCTAAAATCTGATCACCACTCTCCATCCCCTACTCTCCAATTCAGCGTTTACCCTCAAATGTATACTTTGCGTACTCTTTATGTGTTATCGACTATATGATCTCTGCTCTGTGATTTCTTCACTTTGCTCTGTGTGCTTTGCTCCATGTCTTCTACCTCGGTCATAGACTACAAGCGGCAGATCCACGATTGTAGACTTTATAGCTGCAAATCTGTGTTAGTGAACATTCAAGTTGCCGCACTGGTGCTATATACATAACCACACACAAACATTGTATCCTTCTCTCTCTCTCTGTCCTCCCCGCTTGTTCTACTATCTCGCTCTCACTCTATCATTCCCTTTATGTCCCTTTCTCTCTCTCCCTCTCTCTCCCTCTCTCGCCCTCTCTGATCTATCCAATTGCTCTGCCTACTCTCTCTCTCTCTCTCTCGCTCCCTCTCAATCTTCCTCATGCATCTCTATGTACAGCGATCCCTCCCTTTCTCTCTCTGACCCTTTCTGCTCTATCTCTCTGTCGTTAACCTCTCTCTCTCTCGTTCTACCCCTGGGAGCTAGGAAACCCTGCCGACCTTGGGAATCGGCAAGCAACTTTCACCATTATCCGCACACATGGTTTTTTTTTTGCGCCCCCGAGACGAGGCCGGCGCAGGGCTCAAGTCGGCGTGCTGGGCACGGGGATCGCACCTTGGCCTCCCCTGCAGCCTCTGCGCGGCCGTGCTCGGCAGGACCAGGCCTGGGCTAGCCCTTGGACGAAGCCTCGGAGGGCAGGCGCACGTAGCCGTAGGTGAAGCAGCCCAGGAGGGACACGGCGCAGCCCAGGAGCGACATAGGCGTGAGGTGCTCATGAAACAAACCTACGCCAATTGAGATGATAAGTATCTTGTTAAAGTTCTGCAGCATGAGTACCGAGGTGCCCGAAAACAGCTGCTGTGTACGAAGACCCACATAACCCAGTGACGCCCCGCACATCCCAGACATCAACACCAGGAACCAAGTGGTCTTGTCAGCAGATAAGAGGGAGTGGCTCCATTGAGAAAGCTCACCGTTGACCAGCGCAATGGCGAATAGGGGGAAAATGCCTAAAGAGTTGTTTACCAGCATACATAGAGCTATGCTCATGCTGAAATCCGCGTGCCCCTTAAGCAAATAGCTCTGCACGAGCCGGTCCGTGATGGTGAAGAGGCTGTTCAGGAGGATCAACACCTTGCCTAAATTTGTGGCAGAGATGTCAGAATAACCGTACAGCACGGTGCCAGCCAGAGTCATCAGTAACGACACGACCACTTTCCAATTCACAGACGCTGGCTGGTTGAACAGAGCCTTCTCGCACCCGAACGTCAGAATCGGTAGTATGTTCTTCATGATCAAGATTGTAGTCAAGCTCGCATTTTTTGAATGCGAACATCGACGTTCCGAGCATTCCGGAAAAGGCGAACGGCACGATCAACCATTTCAGGAAGTCCGTACACTTGTCCCGCTTCATATTGCTGTGTTCCATGCATATTATCACGACAACAGACACCAACATCTGTAGGATGACCAGAAGGCAAGTTCCTTCGAACGCCTTCGCCGCCTTCTTGTTGAGAACGTTCATGGCGAGGCTGGCCAACACATACAGTCCACTGACGACCAACGCCACTACCATGTTCTGTTCCTTCAACGCGTCCGTGCGCAACAGGTGAAGGATCACTGGAGTGCTGAATATCGCGGCCGCCATCATAATGTCGTCTTTGAGCGCTATCCCTGGCCCAAGTACACCCGAATTCTTGTCCGCAACGGTGCTGTTGTGGGAGCCCAGCGTGCCCGTCTTATTGCCAAGACGTAAAGCAATTATACCAGGACAGCCAACGTACCTCGCCTCCACACTACCAGAACGTGCAATGCATATATCACGAGTCAGACTAATGACCGTGGCCAAAAATAGAGACGAAATCAAAACACGTAACCATCTTGTGAGCGGCATTGTTGTTACAGCAACGCAAATTAGTTAGTGAGGGGAAACCCTGTCCGATATCAGGAAGGCGGGTAGTTCCTGAAGGACATCAAGGTGAGTATCGACGCTCCTAACTGTTGAGCATCCAGACCTACTTGAGCCAAACACGCTCGAGCCAAAAATGTTACTTGAACCAAGTGACACTGGCCGCCTACCACAAGACAAACGCACACGCAGCCACTCGCGATGTAATGCTGGGAACCCACGGCCCAAAATGCTCGCCTGGTTGGGGAAGATCTGCGGGAGAGGCGACGGCTGTGCGTTTGGCAGCACTTTGGAGGACAGGGTGCTAGCTTGGATCCTTATGACTTCTGGCTCTCTTGCAACCCGCAGGGGCGCATCAAAGTTGTGGCAGTCGTGCGCTTGGCAGAACCTTGGGGACATAGGAACGCACTTTGTCTCTGCAGCGGTCCGCTGTCCGACGAGCCCCCCCTGGGCGCAGAAAGGTGGCGACAAGCGCGCGTCTGACAACACCGCGGGTGAGCGAGGAGCGCTAGCGTGAGGCTGGATCCGCGTAGCACAAGGCTCTGCTGGACACCCCCGAGGATACAGGCTTCTGGTTGTGCCTCGGAGAGCGAGGATCTTGTCGGTGGTTCGGAGACGGGGTCCTGAGGGATCTGGGCCTCAGGATAGGAAGGGGTCCAATGGAGGATTTGCGCTGTTGAGGCACCTCGTCCTTAGGGCCCCATCCCTCAGGACCCCGCCTTTGAACCACTCATCTTAGGTTGGCTTTGCGTAGACACGCCCTCCGCTGGACCTCCCAGGGGGCGCAAGATAGCTGCGACGCTTGTGCTCGTCAACGCCGGCGGGGACGAGGGGAGCACCTTGGATCTGCACATCTGTGCCGCCCTCCGCTGACCCCCCCGGGGATGCAGGACCGCGCCGCCTCCAGGGGTGCAGGACCGCGCTGAACGCTGTGCCTCTGGCGGACACCATACGAATGAGCCAGGACGAGGACAAGGTCGGATGAAGATACATGAAGAATCTCTGAGATCCAACGGATCTGGAGGATGTCTCAGGCGCCGCGGCCTCCTCCGAGCGTTCCGCAACGCTCCAGAACGGAGCATCCTTGTCTTAGCCCCGTCCGACACCAGGTGGGGGGGGGGCGAGGGTAATAGCGCAGATCTGCGTAGCCCCGGACTCCGCTGGACTCCCCCAGGAGCGCAAGCAAGTGAGGAGAGCTGTGTCTGCCAGCGCTGGGCGGAGCGGTGGTGCTCCATTCGGATCTGCGTAGTGCGGCGCTCCGCTGTAGCCAGCAGGGTGCAAGACCGTGGCAAATGTACGTCTGGCACCACCCGCACGGGCAAAGGTGGGCTGCAAAGGGGGTCCTTCCGATGGACCGCCCACGTGTCAACATGGCGGATTGCGTGGTATCGCACTCCGGGAGCGGTGGACCCACACGGGCTCACATGAAGAACGACCGTGTCGGCAGCGTCCAGGTGCGAGGCATTTGGTTTTGGATCTGCTGGTGCAGTACACCGCTGGACTCCCCAGGGCCGCAGGAATGTGGCGACACGTGTACGCTTGACGGCACCCACGCCGGCGAGGGTAACGGTCTGGGTCTGCATAACCGAGGTCGGTCTTTGGAACCCCTCTCCTATAGTGGAAACGAATTCTATTGTCGGCGACCTTATTGACGGGCTGGGGTCCCACCAATGATGGGGAAAACTGATTTCTCCGCGGCACCCGCAACGCCCTCGGCGAAGAACGCGTCGATCTGAATTGCAATACTCTCACACACGTGCTCCGAATTCCTCTGTTGCACCAAAGGCAGGAGGAGGAGGAGCAGGAGGAGGAGAAGCAGGAGGAGGAGGAGGAGGAGGAGAAGGGTAGGTCAACCAGGGGCATTCTCCCCTGGGAGAAGGAAGCCCAAAACATAATCCAGGCTTCCCGGCAAGAGAAGGAAGAGAGCCTCCGCCGCGCCGACGAAGACAATTACGGTTACGATTACGACTACCACCACGACTGCGATCCCGACTGCAGTCGCGAGCACAATCAGGATTCCAATTACGATTACAACCACAACTGCAATCACGACTTCAATCACGACCACTGATTTCTACTGCAATCCTCTTGAGAAGATGCTCACAAATCCTCTCGCCTGTAGGGTTGCCCTCACTGGATTAGTCCCAGGGAGAAAAGACATACTATTGTCCAGTCCGCCGCGACGACGACGACTACGATAACTACCACGTGGAGGAGCAGGAAGAGGAGCAGGAGGAGGAGGAGGAGGAGGAGAAGGGGGGAGGAGGAGAAGGAGGAGGAGCAGGAGGAGGAGGAGGGCCGAGTTTGTTCCCAGCCAAGAGAAACAGGGGGGGACCCAAGACTAAAGACCTCCTGTGGTTCGTGGGGGAGCCCATAACATAGGAGGAGCGAAGAGACGGCAGAAGGGACAAGGCAAGAGCTGGGAGAGGGCAGCAGGCAACATAATTAATGGGCATGAGCAACTAGCGTTCCATTCAAAAAGGCGCCCGCCCCAGGGGATTGGCAAGATGCGACGATACAGTAGGACCTCGACCACAAGACACATTCCGATGTTTGGTGGGGGCGTCAATCGACGTTTGGTGGGGGCGTTACGCTTTCCATCTTTCCATAGCAAAACAATCGAAACCCAAGAAACCCAGGGCACCCTGGAGGCAAGCATGGTGATTATTGGCATGGGTTTCCACTGTATACGATTGACTGAGTATACTCTGTCAGGCAATCGACTGCTGAATGGCCGTCTCCACACAAAGGTGCAGAATTGCTCACACGTCCTGCATACGGCGATTGTCATCGATGCCGTGTCGGCTGTACATGACCAGGAGCCAGCGGCTACAGGTAATCAGAGAGACGGAGCAAGAGGATCTGTAAGATAGACGCAGGGATCTTAAAACATTATGACCTCAAGCCGAACAGGCCCATCAAACGGGAAGGTTAACTATCGTGAGACCTGCGGGAGGCCTGCACCCCAACTGTCCGACTTGAGATCCCTGGTGCTCGCTTTACGAACATGGCTACGTCATACATCACGCACGATCTGCGAAACGAAGACGGCGATAGCGTGCCAGGCCATCAAGGCTCAGATCATGTTCAACTGAGGCGACAACACCGACGTGTTAATATACTTTATGTTCAAAGAAGAGATCGTGCCCTCGAATTTGAAAGGCAGCCGGTCCTCGTAGCGCAGTGATACAGGCGACCCCAGGTCCATGCCCACGTCGAAAGTCTCCGATGCATCGAACACCAGCGGGACGGACAGGAGTGCCCGGCCCTTCCCCACGACCGTGTCGTTGGCAGACAATGTGATGTCTGCAGGGGAACGGGGCTTCCTCTCGTCGAACATGACCTCCACCTCGATCTTCGCGGGGCCAGCCGCGAGCGGCTCGGACGAAATGACCGTGTAGTTGTAGACGAGGGTGGCGAAGTACTCTGCATATCCGCCACCGCGCTTGCAGCGGTTGGTGTGCTGGAGGCTTTCCATTTCATGTGTTTGTCCAGCAAAGCAATGCCCGCGCTGTCCAGAAGAAGTGGGCACAAGCATGACGTAGTAGAGGGTCGAACAAAAATTGGTTTCCACCCTCCCAACATTCGATCATTGACACAGGAAGGCGCCTGAAGTATATTCGAATCCGGGAATTCGAAAATACCTATTGTCAAGCGGATCGAGCCGTGAGGATAGTTTGGGTCCGAGGCGCATCGAGCCCAACACGCGTGCATGTTTGAGCTAAACTCCAGATTGTGTGGCACGCCCCCCAAACATTGATGTCAAAGTCAACGTTTCGAGTGGGCGTTCCATGCGCTCCTCTCCTAGCCGCCCCCTCCACCCTCCCAAAGCCCCTGATCAGCTGGCCCCTCCCCCGTCCCCTAGCCCTCCCCCCGAAGCGCGGTGGCGGAGCCGCGCGGCAACGCAACTGGATAGGTAGCCGTGGTCCATGTACACCGTGAAGCCTCCGCCGGTGCCGCCCACGCAAAAGAGAATCCCTGACGCGCCCGGCAGCAGATTGACGCGGGCGGTGGCCAGAGACGAGAAGCCGCTGCGGTACAGGGGCGCGTTCGACTCGGCCGCTCTGACCTGGCCCTCGAAGAGGTTCCACTCTGTGAGGGGCGATTTGGGGGCCTCGTCTGGGTGGTAGTAGATCGTGTACAAGCCAGCGCCAATTGGGAGCACGTTGTTGATGGCGGCCTGCACACTGAAGAAAGACTTCATCTCCGCCAACTTGTCGGGCTTCTGCTGGGCGAGGTCGGCCGCCTGGGAGAAGTCGGCCTCGAGGTCGTACAGCTCCCAGACGTCCGTGTCGGGGTCCCACACGTCCAGCCTGGTCGCATTTGGATGCCAGGGGATGCGCGGCCCTAGCGTGCACGCGAACCAACCGTCTTTGTAGATGCCGCGGCTACCCATGACCTCGAAATATTGTTCGCGCCTGCGTCCTTCAGCGGTGGCATTGTGCCACGAGTACACCATGGACACGCCGTCGATTTTCTGTTGCCTGATTCCCTCCACTGCGGAAGGGGCTTTAATGCCCACGGCCTCGTAGATCGTGGGCACGACGTCGATTACGTGGTGGAACTGAGAGCGGGGGACTGTGTCGGGCTTGATCACCTTCGGCCACGAAAAGACCAGGGGAGTGCGAGTGCCACCGAAGTGCGCCGCGACCAGTTTGGTGCTCTTGAAAGGCGTGTCGCCCGCCCAGGCCCAACTGCCATGATACATGTTGTCCAAATGCTTGGTGCCCAGCGCGTCCAGACCACCGAACTGGCTGTCCAGCGCCTCGATCTGGTCGTCGACGCTCGTCGGTATGGCGTTCTCGGCGAGGAGCTCGGCCAAGGTCCCATACAGGCCCTCCGCGGATGCGCCGTTGTCCGCGTAGACGTAGATGATAAATGTGTTGTTTGTGAGCCCCTGGGCGTCGAGCTCATCAAGGATCTTGAGGGTCTGCGTGTCCGTGTGCTCGAGGAAGCCCGCGTACACCTCCATAAGGCGAACCTGGAAGGCCGTCTGGTTGGCGGGGATATCTGCCCACTTGATCATCGTTGGATCGATCGGCGTCAACTGCGCATCGCTGGGGATCCAACCCATGTCCTTCTGCTTCTGGTACGTGATCTCGCGCAGCGCTTCCCAGCCCATGTCGAACTTTCCCTTGTATTTGTCTGCCCAAGCCAAAGGAACCTGGTGTGGACCGTGTGTGGCACCCGGAGCGTAGTAGATGAAGAACGGCCGCTCGGGAGTGAATGCGCGATTGTTCCGGATGAACTTGATGGTCTGGTTCGCAAGGTCCTCTGTGAGGTGGTAGCCTTCCTCGGGGGAGAACGGCGGCTCGATGGGGACGTTGTTCTTGAACAGCCTGGGGTAAAACTGCTGCGTTTCCCCCGCCAGGAAGCCGTAGAAGTACGAGAAACCCAGGCCCGTCGGGTACCTGTGGGCTGCTCATGTTGTGAGAACTTGCCATGTTATGTATATGCGTATAGATGTATATATATATATATATATATATATATATGTGGATTATGTTGTGTGTTTTGTGTTGTTTTGTTTCCTGCCGGTGGCTCAAAGATGGGGCCCTGAAAGATGGGGGCCCTTGAGGCTAGGAAGGAATCCAAGCGTGGCCTTGCACTGTTTGAGGCACCTCGTCCTCCTCCTCCGCCACCTCCTCCTCCTCCTCTTCCTCTTCCTCCTTAGGCCCATCCCTCAGGATCCCATCTTGGGCAACCAATAGGTACCCATGCCGCTACTCCCCGGACCACTCCGGTGGTGCGTTCTGATTAGGATTTCGCAGCAAATCCAGCGGTGGCGGCGAGGGCGTCCCATGATGCCACCACATGGGGAAAACTGTCGGACTGTAGCAGTATGGGTACCTTGTCCTCCTCTGGCCATCTTTGAACCACCGAACCTGCCGTCGGCCCCACAGACAAACCCAAGGCTTGTAATTGGCTGTTGAGGGGAGAGATAGGCCTTCCTGGAAAACACTTAAAGTTCGGACTTGGGTTCGGGCGGGGGGGAAGTTAAAAGTTCGAGTTCGAAGACCAAGGAAAGCAAGAGTTCGAAGCAAGTTCGAAAGTTCAGAAAGAGACCGAAAGCACTTCAAATGCGTTAACAGAATTTGGAGGAATGTCAGAAATAAGTTAGAACAAAGTTCGAACTAAATTTGAAAAGCCAAACAAGTTCAAACAAAGTTCGGAAATAGTTCGAAACCAATTCGGGAGTTCCGAGCAAGTTCGAAACCAAACTTTCTCCAGACTCTAGGATTCTCGCAACGTCGAACTTGCACGTTCTAAAAGCATTGGCCTCGAACTTGTTCCGCACTTGGTTGTTCAAACCGTAGGGGCCGTTTGCGCCCCCTCAGCCAATTACAACCCAAGGCCTCTCCTGGGACACGTCCTGATCGTGCGCTTTCCGGCGGCGGATCCGCCGTAGCGACGAGGGCCTCCCAGGAGGCTCCGCGGACCATGCAGATCGAGCTCCCCTCTCCGTCCTGTCGTTGTGCCCCTGCACCTTAGCGATGCTGTTTGCAGCAGGATGGGCGTGAACGCGGCGAGAGGCCACGAAGCAGGGAGGAGGAGGAGGAGGAGGAGGAGGAGGAGGAGGAGGAGGAGGAGGAGGAGGAGGAGGAGGAGCAGGAGGAGGAGGAGGAGGAGGGAGGAGGAGGAGGAAGACTTAGTTGGATGACGGGTACCACGTTGTGCATACTAGCGATCGTCGCTCGCCTGGAGTCAGGGAGCTCCACGACCCCAGGCCGCGGTGAAGGGGCCTCTGCCTCTGTGCCTCCATCGTCGGCTCGGGAGGACGGAGAAGGGGGCAGATGATCGGATCCACTGTATCATCGCGTCTGCTGACCGGGTCTACTGCGCAGTCGTGCCCTGTATCTTCCTAGCCGCTTTCTCCAAACACGACAGTTGTCTATCTCGGTCCTTCTCCTGAGGGATACTGGTCGAACGGCCCCGTCTCGGTGAGGTCCGTGACCGGCGTGTTGTGCCACTTGCCGAAGCACGCGGTGTCGTAGCCGTAGGCGCCGAGGACCTTGGCGACTGTGGCGGCGGTCTTGGGGATCCTTCGGTGGCGTGCACGAGAGGACAAGTTGGGATGGGGCCTTCTGACAAGGAAGAGGGCTTCCTGGAATGGTCCTGCCCCATCTCTTCTAGAGGCCTCGCATGGGGACTTCTTGAGGGCGGGCGGGCTTCTGAAAGGCGCGGTGCCTTTTCCGAAGGCCGCCCCCCTCACACTACCCCAGACCGGCCCCTGTGCACTGCTGGGGTCTCTCGTGGCTTGTTCTCCCAGCCGCGCAACACCGTAGCGACACGAACGTCCGAGCAAAAAAAACCATGACCGCGTAAACCACGAGCATCGGATCCTGCCAGTGTACCCGGGGAAGCCGGAGGCGGCCTCGGTGATCTGCCCCGTGCCGATGGCGTGGTGGTTCCTGCCCGTCAGCAGCGCCGCCCGCGTCGGGGAGCAGATGGCCACGTTGTGGAAGCGGTTGTAGGCGATGCCAGCGGCGTAGACCTGGGAACGTTGAGGGCGGCGGCGGTGACGGGTGATGGGTGGCGGCGGTGGCGGTGCTGCATAGACCTGAGAACGGTGACGACAGCGGCGGCGGCGACAGCGACGGGCAACGGCGGCGGCGGCGCGGCGGTACGGCGTAGACCTGGGAACGGTGACGGGTCGGCGACGGCGACGGGCAACGGCGTTGGCGGCGGCGGCGGCGCGGCGTAGACCTGGGAACGGTAACGACTGCGGCGGCGGCGACAGCGACAGGTGGCGGCGGCGGCGGCAGCGGCGCAGACCTTGGACAGAGCTGGCGTGTGAACTGGCCCGCCGAACGTATCCGAGTGGCCGTACCCAGAGTCGTCGTTCATGATGAGGACGATGTTAGGGGCATCCTATCATTAGACCGCCATGCCCCTGCTCCCTCCCGTCTCATCCCTTCTCTCGCTTCCCTATCATCCTGCCTCCTTCGCCCACCTCCTCTCTTTCCTCCCTTCTCCAGCATCCTCTTCCGCCCTTCTCCAGCCGCCGACGACCAGGTCGGCAACGGACGACGACGACGACGACGATGACGAAGTCGACGACGATGATGACGACGACGACGACGCCGAAGACGACGACGACGACGACTGCGCCCGTGCTCGCGACCACGAAGACGACGAGCATGACGACGACGACGACGACGACGACGAAGACGACGAAGACGGCAGAGATGGAGGCGGAGACGGCGACAGCGTCCAGGCCGAGCTTCCCCCGACTAGCCACAGCCTGGGAAGCTTTGCTCAGTGCTCCCTGCCCCCTCGCCTGGGAGATCCCATCGTGTCGCCGATCTCTCGGGAGGAGCTTGGGGGGGCAACGCTGTGGGGGGGACCAGCTCAGGGGGGAGCATCCACCTGGAATCGGGGATAAGGATGCGTAGTTCGGATGCGCGATAAGGATACAAGGCCCTTGGAGGCCGCGTTGAAGCTTCTTCGAGCAAGGCGGGCCATCGAACGTAATCGAGGATGGACCAAAGGGGCACAGAGGCAAGGGTACCCTTGAGAAGGTCATCCATCCTTACCATCGGGTTGGACTGTGCGTTGCCGATAGATCAGCGATGTTCCTCCGATCGCGAAAGCGAAGGGTCCTGGGTTGGACGGGCTATCGGGCCCCTATCGGCGATGAGTGGGTGACTTGGGGTCGTTGCATATCACCCTTCGGCCCATCCCCCCCCCTACTAGGAGGGGCGCCGAAGCCGGTGGGCGCCCCCAGCGGTGGCCAGGGCCACAGCTCCCAGCTCCCCAGGCTGCGGCCTGACCGGGCAGGGCCGCGGCCTGGGATGCCGTCGCCGTCTCCGCCTCCGTCGCCGTCGTCGACGTCGTGGCCGTGGTCATTCGTTATCGTCGTCGTCGTCGTGGTCGGTCGTCTTTCTTCGTCGTCGTCATCGTCGGCGGCGGAGGCGGCGGCCTCGTCGTCGTCTTTGCGTCGTCGTCGTCGTCGACTCCAACGGCCCCACTCTCGCGAGGGCCGCGGCTGGGCCGGACAGCCCCGGCCCCGCCTCGCGAGGACGGTGTCGGGCGCACTGGGCCTCTCGGGGGCCTCGCCTCGGAATGCCGCAGATCTGGCGCGCCAACAGTGGGCCATCGCTCGGACGTCCATTCCCTGTGCTTTTTTCGGTTCTGTGCGTGGTTTTTTCGCCAGATGGTCGAGGATGCTCCTCGAATGTCCTCGCCGAGAAAGAAAATGCACACGTCCGAGCGATGCCAAGACAGTGGGCAAAAGGTATTTCGGGCCGGGCGAAAGGGGGGGACAGCAAAGGGGGGGTTTGAGAATCAGCTCGCGTGGCTGATTTTCTCGGCGCCTCCCGGCGCCGGAGGCGGCCATGTATCGAGGACTGGGCCCCTCGGTGGAGCCGAAACCAGCTGCGCGCAGCAGATTTCGTAACCTCCCGTCCCAATCCCCCCCTTTCGTCTGGCCCGAGTAGCCAGCACGATGCGCACGTGGTCCAAAACGGACAGCGGCCACTGTTGGGCAGGCGGCGTCTCGTCTGAAGCGGGCGAGGCCCGCGGCGACGCCGACAACGAGTCCTGTTCCAAAGTGGCGGGAACTTGCTGCCGGCCTTGTCCCCCGGTCTTTGCGCACTCCTGTCGATCGCACCCGCCAGGAGAGGCCTCCAGGGGTCCCCCCGGGGCGGGGCTGGACTTGGAGGGCCCGCAGGCCCGGGCGGCTCCGCAGCCTTCGTTGACGCTGCTGGGAGTCTTGTGGGCGTGCTCGGCTACTCTGGGGGCCCCCTGGGGCACAGCTCTGTAGAGCTCTGGAGCGGCCGGCCTGCACGTCGCTCATTCATGTCTAAACGTGCTCATTTCTGATGGTGCTCGTTCCTAAATGTTCCTGGCCCCCCTGGTGGCCAGGGAGAGGCCCAGGATAGAACGATTAAGAGACGAAAGGATCTTGACCTCCCGAACAAAAAATCAAACAACTTTCGAATTGTTCGACATGAACAATGTACATACCATCTGCACCTGCCGCACGGCCGCCGCCCCGGCGCCGCAGCGGTGGAGCTCGCAGCTCGGAGGGCGCGACGGATGGGCCGCCCTTGCCGGCTGCACGCGGGGGCGGGGCAGGAGGGGCCTCTGTAGACGAGCGCGCTTCACGTCCCGCAAGGTAACTGCTCGCAAATGGCCTGGATCCGCCGCAGGAGCTCCGCGATGAATTATAACAAATATCGACGAGCGCGTTCCGCTACTCGCAAAGGAACTGCTCGCACATGGCCCGGATCCGCCGCAGGAGCTCTGCGATGAGTTCCACCGAAGCAGCCACGTCTGGTTCGGACGCTTGCGAGCAGGCACGTTGCGCGCAGTGGCATGCGCTCGGCACCTTTGGTGCGCGGCCTCCGGGGCCCGCGGGGGGGGGCCCAGTCCGGGTGCGCAGGCCAGTGCCGGGGGGACCCTTGCGGGCTCGCAGCCCGTGGCCGCTCCCCGCAACGCGGAACCCACAAGTCGGGTCACCTCTCGGGAGGTCGCCTCTGTAAGAACGGTTTTTTGAAGGCAAATCTGCCTTCAAAAAGAACGGTTTTTTGAAGGCAGATCTGCCTTCAAAAAAACATTTTCTGAAGGCAGATCTGCCTTCAAAACATAATTTTTTGAAGGCAGATCTGCCTTCAAAAAACTGTTCTTCCCGCAACGCTGAACCCACAAGTCGGGCCACCTCTCGGGAGGTCGCCTCCTGCTCCCGCCGGCCTTCCGCCGGCCTTCCGCCGACGGAGGCGGCCTCGTTCTACGTCCGCCGCCTTCCGCCGCGGAAGAGGGGGCGGCTCCTTTGACCCTCGAAGGCGAGGCTCTTTCTGCAGCGACTCGTGTGCTACTCTGGCGACGAAGCCTGCCATCAGAGCACGGCCCGCGGCAGATGCCAGAAGCTGGGGCCGACACCTCCGAGTGCCCACGCCGACAGGACGGCAGCCAGACGCCCGGACGGCGCCGAGGCAGCAGGCACGAACTTCGAACTGCAGGCGGGATAGGCGAGCGGCGCGAAGGGGGGGGGGGCGAGGGGGACGGGAGGGGCGAGCGACGCAAAGGCCCCGGACGACTCTTCGACCTGCACGCGCGAGATGACCGGCGCGAAGGGAAGCGGGCGAGGGAAACAGGAGTGGCGAGAGACGCGAAGGCCCAGGACAACTCTTCGAACTGCACGCGCGAGAAGAGAGCAGCGCGAAGGGGGGGGGCGAGGACGGAGGACAGGAGGGGCGAAAGAGGCGAAGCCCCGGGATAAAGTCGGGCATACCCCTCTACAGGAAGGAATGTTCCAAGAAAGTCAAGAGAGATGTAGTCTGGGGACGATCATTCCACTGTTGACCATCTTGTAAGATATGGCTTGACTACGTTCTATGTGTCCTCTTCCTGCTACTCCTCCTCCTCCTGCTCCTCCTCCTTCTCCTCCTCCTCGTCTTCCTCCTCCTCCCTCCTCCTCCTCCTCCTCCTTTTCTGCCTCATCCTCCTCCTCCCGCCGGACGTGCCGCCAGGGGGGGGGCTCAACACACATCCAAGCAATCCGCGCGGAGCGCCAAAAGCTTATGCTTATGCCCGACCCAAAGATGGGGCCGAGAACTCTGAGGGCCGA